ACAAAAAATACAAAAATTAGCTGGGTGCGGTAGCAGGCACCTATAGTCCCAGGTACTCTTACTCGAGAGGCTGAGCTGGGAGGATCAGCTGAGCCTAGGAAGGTCGAGGGTGCAATGAGCCATGATCATGCCACTCCTCTCCAGCCTGGGTAATAGAGTGAGACACTGTCCCCTGTCTCAACATATATATTTATACACACACACACACACACACATATATATATATAATTGGCTTAAAGACTAAATTTTAATTTTATGATTAAATAAATTTAATCCTATATGTAGCTTATTATCATTGCTATGAATCTATTGTGATTTTTTTTAGAAGTATATCATTTGTCTTTTAAAACTGTATGTTGAATGTTAGCTAGGACCACCACCATGTACCACCATGCCTGGCCAATTTTTCTTTTTAAAATTATTTTTGTGTGAAGATGGGGTCTCACTATGTTGCCCAGGCTGGTCTCAAACTCCTGGCCTCAAATGATCCTCCCACCTTGGCCTCCCAAAGTGATGAGGTTACACGTGTGAGCCACCTTGCCTGGCAGTTTTATTATACTTGGATGCTATAGTGCTTATAATATATGATCAAAATACTGATGGATTGTAGTAATAAAGAATACTTTCTTAATAACTTTGTAAAGCTCAACATGTAAAAAGCTAATGACAATGATGATAAAGATTTGCCTGGTATTGACAAAAACAATGATGCTATCAACATAAGGGACTATTAACACAATTTTGTCTTAATTGGGTCATGTTTATAGATTGTTATATAAAGAGATTTTTTTCTGTATACTTTTCTAGAACCATTTGGTGAAAGGCAAAACAAGCAAAAGAAAAAGAGTAAGAAAAAATTGGGTTCGTATTGGGAAAATAATGGAGGAAGAATTTTGCCTTGGAATTGGCTGATTCTAGTATGTCATTCCAAGACTCAAATATAAACAGAGGGTTTTTTTTAACCGCTTTTTAAATAGAACAAGCTATAGCTAAGAATATATTTGTGATTGAATAGATTTAGCAGAGTATATGTGTAATTAGCAGAGATATTTCAAGTGTGAAATTATAAAGAGAAATATCTATAAACCTTACTTTTATGATGAGCTGAAAGTCTAAGGAAAATCAAAGATGCAGGAGTGTAAACAGATTTTTGGATTCAGTTAAGCCTTTGTTTTTTACGATCCTAGCATGAAAGCATTCTGTACGTCTCCCACAGCCACTACAATGCTGTCACTTTACTATGATTACCAAAAATCAGTACAGTAGCAACTTTTGTAGCACAAAAGGATGGCTAAGAGAGAAGCCCGACTGTGGAAAGTAGCGTCACCTAGTGGCCGAATTTGTTTCTTACAAGAGACCGGCATTTCTTTTTTTTTTTTTTTTTTTTTTTTTTTTTTTTTTTTTTT